CAATTCCGTGCTTTCTGCAGTAAGATCTGTCTCATTCTAAATGTGTGCAGGGATATTTTGTGCCAGGGCTTCCCTGAAGTGGCTTGGTTTGCAGTCTTTAGACCTTGTCCAAGTGTAATTTGAGGATAAAGGTGCGGCTGCTTATGATTTTCAAGTGCCTGGCAATGTGACAGGAGTTGCTGTTGGGTGTCTTTAGTCTGTGCTCATTTGAGTTTTGCAGCTGGAGTGTGCTGGGTGTGATGTGCCCCTGCTGCACCATGCTAGCTGTGCACAACTTACACAGCAAGTGGGAGCCTGGGCATAGCGTGTTGTCCTGAGAACTGTGGCTGTAGTGCTGGAGGTCTTTGTCATCCCTTCTGGTTCAGGATGTTCAGACAAGTGGGATTTCTTAGTTCTGTGTGTGTATGTATCTGCCTGATTTTATCTGTTCAAGTTTTGACTATGGATGGAAAAAACGATTTCTTCTGAATCACAGATTGAATCAGACTGTGAGTTTTTCAAATAGGCCATATGAAGAAAAAATTAATATTATATCATAATAAAACAATTTATCTTATAATGCAAAAGACTTACCAGTTGAAATCTGTAGCTAAATTGCATTTTCTACAATATCCAGCCGTTGCTCCAAGAAAGAAAGCAGATAGAAAATAATAGCAAATCATACTGACACTTTAAGCAGTACAGAGTGAAGAAAAAAGGAAAAAGCCCAACATTATCGTTTCTTACTGCTTCTCTTAATCTCTCATGAAGTTCATTTGTATGACCTTTAGCTACTTTTACTTGATGATATATGGTGTAGTATTCTTGGGCAGAGAGTAAGTCAGTTAATCTTTCTGTCAGAGAGGTACTCTTGCAATTCACTCTTGCAATGGTAGCTGGAATTAGAAGCTGGTAAAGCTACAGATGAGACATCATGTTCTGCAGCGCAGAGGCTTATTAATTTTACTCATGCTGGTACTCCAGAATTGACCATCTGGTTCTGGAAATAACAACATTAATTTACATGTTGACCAACTAGCAGCAGTTTCCATTATGCTAAACACCTGTTATCACTTAGAGCCATTTTACTGAATATGATGCATTAGCTGTATATTATTGGTGCTAAGGATGCATACAGAAATATGTCATCCACTTACATGGTTCAGGTGTTGCTTAAGCAATCTATTGAATTTGCTGGAGGGCTTATGCAGGAAACAATTCCTCCTTGTATAGGAGGAACACAAGAGAGCATTGTTAATTGTCTTAAATATTTCTGATTACTGCATTAAAAATACACTCTTCTGTCTGTTGTGGTATGGGATGTATGTGCAGATGATTATATGTGGTATTCCAATGGCTATTCCTGTTTATTTCAGGCTTTTGTCCAATAATTAAGGATAAATATGTGGAGGTATTATCATGTCCTTATTACTGGCAAGTGAAAAATGATCTAGGGAAAACTGAAAGAATTTGCAAAACAAATGTCACCAGACAAATCTTGCAATAATCTCTCAATTGGAGAGGGAGAAAGCTTTTAGTCTTTCAAGAAGTGGCTTGCTGCATTTCAGTTCCTAAAGATCTGTGAGTTTAAAATATTGTTGCATGGTATTCCATGAAGAAAAAAATCCTTCAGATGACAGGAAAGTCTTTCAGATGACAGATTCATGCTTTATTATCTGTTTTGTAGAGTAAAGTGAAGAGTAGAAAACTTCTGGGAAAATCAGCACTTATTATGGACTAAAATTTCAGGAAGGTAGGATGGCCTGTATACTGCTTCTGACTAATTTACTCTTAGCCAGCTGCATAGCCACAAATAAAATCTTTTGTGTAGCACAATGAACTTCATTTCCTAATTTGTCCTAAAATGAGTAATCAGCAAGCTTCTTGTCTGAGGTCTAGACAGGAATCCAATATAAAAATGAGAGACAGAAAAATCATCAGTCTAGAAAAGAAGCATATGTCTGTCTGTCAGCTAAATTTTGGGGTTTTTTACTCTTTCTGTGTCTGCTACTGGCAATTTGCTTTCCATATTTATGTTAAACAGCAAGAGAGTTTTTCTTTCCTTTCAGAGCTTTCAGCCTCCCTTCAATGCATGTGGAAAGTTTGCTATGAATATTCAGGTTTAAGGTGAAGTTTATTTGTTTGGGTTTCATGTGTCTTGTAGTCCTAGAAGGATCTGTTTAACAGTTAGATATGTATAATAAAATCACATAGTTAATTGAACTAGAAATTTTAATCTCATAACTGTTGTACAGCTATTGCTTATAATTTACTGGTTTATGATTATCCCTGAATATTTTTAGAAAGTTATGCATGTCGTATCAACAAATACACAGGGCAGTCATACTTCTTTTCAACATGCCCTCAAATGATTTTACAGGTTCAAAGATCTTAGCTCATAGTATAACAAACTAACACCATATAGGTCAATGGCTGCATAAGAAAGTTTATGATTTCATCCAAGAAAAAGGATTTAAGTTGACCTGTCTGCGGGTAACACGGACTTTAAAAAAGATTGTTCAGCCAGGATGCATTCCTGTTCAAATAATTGTCAGTGAGGATCTTCAGTCAATTTTAAACACAGCAGATGGGAACTTGAGTAAAAACAAGGAGTAGCAGAGGAGGAAGTCAAACATGAACAAAGAGAGGCAAACAAAAATTTTCAATTAGTCAAATGCTTAACTGCTCACCTCCCTGTTGATTATGATAGAATGATAAGAGAAAGAAGAAGGCCCTGAATTTAAATTTGCACGTGTGACACTTCTATCTCTCCAGACATTCACAAAATACTGTTTCAAACTTGTAATATTAAATAAACTTTAATGTTCATCAATTAGGGTTGGTAGACCTTTTAGGTTTTGAGATATTAAAATGTAATGATGCTTACTGTATATTAAAGGCAGAAAAAGTTGTATTTAAAGGGATGCCTGAAGGTTATACAGTTCAGTCTCGATGCTGCATGAACTTCTATTGGCATGGCATGAACTCATGTAGAACAGTGAAAACGTATTAGAGAGGAACTAAAAATAAAATTCAGATGGAATTTCAGAAATTAAACCACATAATTTTTAAGCCCAAACAAATCAGAGAATATGTTTTGCAGGAAGCTCAAAATTTATTTTAATTCCAAATCAAAATAAAAAGACAAATTTATTTTCTTATTGTAAAGAAAATTCTTTTTTAGTTAATTGTAAGGCCCTTTCCTACTAAATGGACAATATTCTTCAGGGAAAATCCTCAATTCTTTTGGGTGAAGGATCTGACAGTTATGCTTGTAAACGTTGTAAAAAAACAGAAGTGTGGGAAGTACAGTATGAACACAGCTATCATTTCCCATTCACCATAATCAACAGAGAACAAGCAGCATCTCTGAGGTGTGATCCAGGCAGGAAATGGCTGTATCCTCTTATGAAGGGACACCTCTCCACTGACTTTAGAAGTCATCATGGTGACTCAGCAATAAAGACCTACATGTTTAGTAAAATGGAATTGTAAGGAGGTGTGTCCTGAAAGTGCCTTTTCCATTTTTGTAAGTTTAGAGGGAGCCTGAGGTGGCCAGCTCAGATAAAGATGACTACATTTGGTTGAAAGAAAACCACCCTAGAAGTGAAGCAGTGTTGACAACCAGCTGAGGGATAAAAACTCGTTAATACTTTACAGTAATGAAAATAGTTTATGTACATTGACTGCTGGCATTGTATTGCCTTTTGTGGTTTTGACCACAACATCTGATCTTTTGTCTATAAAAACCTGTGTGAACAAAGAGAAGAATCTACAAGATGTCTTGAAGAGGGAGATTACACTAAGCGAAGTAACTATTCTTTTTCCATATGCTTTTGCAACTAAATATATGAACAACAACAAAAAAAATTACTGTACTCTACCTTTGTCATAACTTTTTCTCCAGGGCAAGGTGTCTATATAGGCAAATGAAAAAATAATTATGTAGACAAATTGCATCTCTGAAGGTTTAAAATAGAGTCTTCCTACCTCACTGGGGCTTTTATTTGTTTGTTAGCTTTATTTTGTTTTAAAGTAAATGCCAGTGACAGTGGATGTCTTTTTTGGAGGCATTGCATGTTTAATTATCCACATTCACTGTTCTTGAACTGGACCAGAGGTAAGTGAAACTATCTTCCATTTCCCCTGGCACTTTGGATTCGTTTGAGAGTAAGACAATTGCCCTAAGGGAGAGAAGCATTGAGTTTACACAGAGCCGAACAAATGTTTTTTAATTAATGATTTATTTAGCTCATGCATTTCTTTGTCAGCATGTAACAGAACACCCCTGGGAAGATCACTGACAGAAGAGACTGAACTAGGGACCTTGAATCTGAAACCATGAACGTCTACCGCCAAAAGCCTTGTCTTTGTCTAACAAAGCTACTTGGGCATCTTAACCCCAAGGTGGAGTCTCTCCACTCTAGAGAGTATTGTTTCCCTGGGTACCAGTCAATGACTGTTTAACTGGCTGGCTGACACCCAGCCAAATCCAATCTTTTATTAAGTAATTCATTAAATTTATTAAATTATGTGGAGCCCATTTAGGTGACCCACATTAGCATAACGCTAATAATATACCATGTTTAACAGAAGAAATACAAGATATAGTTTTTCCCTGCCAAGTTTCCAATCCAATTTCTTGCTGGGCTTACTGGGTGCAATAGACTGGAAACAGTTATTTCCAGCCTCTGTCCCTCTTGAGACAGCTTGTGTTTGTGTCATGGGAGCACAAATTTTGCTGGATTTAACTGTTACTGGGCTTTTTAAGAAACTCTTATTAACGTACCAAGAAAGAAAGAGAAAACACACCAAGCAGGGTTAAAGACTAGCTCAGCCTCCTGCCCTTGATAGGGGAGGGTAGCAAATACCTGGGGAGAGGACATGAGGGTGGGAACGACCAGCAAGTGGTGCTTCTCTTCCCTGTAAGAACTTGCAGGTTTGGCAGAGCTCCCAGCCCAGACACTGCCTACAGGCTGTATCTATTCAGACCTATCAAAGTTCAATCAAAAGTTAATTACGGCTTTTGGCTCCTTGTGCTGACATCAGCGAAGCAGCAGAGATTTCCGGGAAGTTTGGTATGGTGATTTTGCATAGTTGTACAATTAGAATGCGATGGGGCTGCTTGTTTGCCAGGAGCTTCATGAACAAGGTCATGCCGCAACAGCAGGACCAGCTCTGTAGTTCATCTGCAGATGGAAAGGGACTTTCTTGAGCATCTTATCTATAAGGAATCATTGCCAGAATAACTTCAAAGGATCATTCTTTTCCTGGAAGCATGTGTAAGCATTACATTATGAGCATTTATGGAAGGACAGCAGAGGATTTTTCAGCCTAACCCGACACACTGAGCGATGTTATCTGTCTCTGCTGCCACACTAGATGAACAGTAACTCTGCTACCAGTGGGGCAGTCGGTGTTTATGAGTCATGGTTTTTGAGAGCAGTCCCTCCAGTCACCCTCATTTGTTTAAACTGTTCACAGAAGATAAACTCAGAATGACCAGAAGTGCAGGTAGAAGATTATTAATTCATAATTTTTATTCTGACTTTGTCTGTATCCCATATCAAACAAAGTGTAACAGCCTCAGAGGTGCAGGGTACACAGGAATGTAATAAATGTTGGGGTCTTGCTACATCTCTAAAAAGGCAGCCCTCACCCCTTAGTATTGGTGTCGTGAGGTTTAAGGCGGTCCTACTGTAAAACACTGGCCAGTAAAAACTGCTGGCAGGCAATGCTCTGTGCTGATCAACCAGATAGCAGCTGCCAGTGGGGTGAATTCAAAACATTTAAAAGGAGCTTTCTTTTCCTGCTTCCGCTTCTCCCTGGTACACCATGGCAGGAGTACCTATAATTCCACTCCCTGAATTGTTTACTATCTCAGAGATCTAAAGTGAGATTAATTGTTTTATGGGCAGTAGCAAACAATTATATTATATCTACTGGGATTTTTTTTTTTTTTTGGTTCACAGTGCTTGGCAACATAATCTTTTTCAGCTAGTGCTTTTGTGAAAAGGATAGGATTTTTCAAGTGCAGTGAAGTGATTTAGGAGTGCAGATGCTAATGGATTTGTTCATTTTATCCTTCCAGATAACAAAGAATTAGAATCATAAATGTATTTTGGCACAATTTTTGGTTACTTCTCGAGAGTCTCTTAAATGCCTAGTTTTGACTGCAGAGTGTTAAGACAGTCAAAAAAATCCTAGGAGGTCAAAGAAATTCAGGATGCAGGTTGTGGTGGATACATAAAGTCCGTTGCACATCTCGCTGGAGAGACATGATCTATTGCAATCCACTTAACAGGGAGGGTGTCACCCAGAAGAGTTGCAGAGAGAAATGTACAGGGACTCCCTCCCCCTCTATGCTCTATGTTTGAAACCCAGTTTGAAAACTCTCCAATGATTACTGTGCAATAGGGACTGGGAACAACAGTTTCTGACAAGATCCCAAAGGTCTTTTTGGTACTTTTCTGGATGAGCTTGAGCCCATGAAGTTCTCATCTGGAGCTATTTTTTCCCCAAGCTGCTAGGGATCAATGACCTAGCTTTTATTCTACACTGCTGGGGAGGTACTGTTGTTATGGATGCTGTCCTGCCCCTGTGAACTTTCCCCGTGCCCTGGAGGTGTCACAGTCAAAGATTTTGGTATAAGCATGACTTATCTGTGTTTAATTTTATGCTTTTGCTCAGTTGCTACATTTTGTGTGTGTAAGGTTCAGCAATGTCAATTATTCTTATGGTGTTATTTACAGCAAGCTACCAACAACGAAAACCACCTCTGGAATTGGGATCCTTTTCTTGACTTGAGTGATTTTTTTCCTGAAGAATGTGGTGAAAAAAAGTCATAAAGTTCTTCAGAAATTCTGTAAGTCCCTGAGGCAGAGCAATAGCTCTAGAAAATGTGTTTAACTCAGAACATACAAAATGGCTTAAATGGCTTAGTAGAAAATGTCCTGAGTTTCAGTTTTGTAAATGTGCTAGTTCAGAGGTGTGGTAATAAATATTAATTTTATTTTGACATTTGAAAGAGACATCTGAATGCTGCCTATGTGCAGTGCAGAATGATTAAAATTATTGTGGTGTGTGAAATTTATGTTTTAGCTAGCGTGATTACATCCTTCTAAAAATGTGCAAGGCTGTAATCTTTTAAAATTGTTTTTGCAGTAGAGAGATTAAAATTCCATGAAGCATTTCATATATTTTTAAACAATCATGTTAATTTGGAAGTGACTCAAATAACATTCATTCTATTTTAAACATAAGTCATAATGATCCACGTTCAGATTCTTTGTTTCCAAAAAAAAGTAACCAAGCTCAGAAAGATCTCAGCAAAGAAGTTTTCTTGTACCATGAGCCACCATAGAGATGACACCAGCTGGCTGGGTATATAGCAGACATGGCAGAAAGACTAAATGTATTTCCACTCCAAATCAATGCTTTATTTCAGAATACAGGGTAGTTTTCCATCCACCTTTGCCTCGCCTCACACCTCTGCTCTTAGTCTGTGTGCCTATCCTGGAATTTCCCTGGTGTGGCAGTGGAGTCAGAGTCAGGATGATTTGCTGCAGGACGGGATTAAATAGAGGCTGAAAGTTTGTGTGGGTGCGGTTCTGCTGCATTTACTTTGCAGATAAGGATCTTACATCAAGGTTTCATTCTGAAGGTCAAATTCAAACCCGAGTGTAACGAGAACAGAGTTTGTGTGCTTCTGAATGGAAGAAAAAAGTACAAAAATTAACCGGATACTCAAGTCTTTAGAAATGCGTAGTATAGCATAGCTCCTTTTTATTGATGAGGTTTGTTACCTCGTATTTAGTCATCCTCTTTCTCTGTCTGTTCTGCATTTCTCTCAGTTGAAGGTTAAAAGGTGTTTATAGGTATTCTGGATAATGATTTACTCTTGTGTTAGACAGATTGCAATGAGAGATATCAGTGTTGAAGCTATGTTGTTTTGTCTTCTGATAGAACTACCATGTCTTCTTCCCTATTACTCAGCATTGATTTTTATCCGTGCTGTATTCTGGGCTTTCCAAGGCCTTTACGAGTTCAGCGCAGTACATGTTGTTTCAGTGGCAAACACAGGCATTACATATTTCTAACCCCCATGGACTTACACAAACCATGTCTCCACATCTGCCATGGAGCATTAGGTGAGTCAATCTGATGTCCTGTGTCTCATTGTCTAAGTTTATTTATTAGACTCCCTGGATGGACCCCAAATCTGACTCACTACTGGCCTCATCCAGGACGCTCAACTGAGCCTTCACCATTGCTGTCCTGACCCTGTGCAGGTGCTTGGGATTGTGCCCTGTCAGAGGGGCTCTGCCTTGCCTGTAGGAGGTCTGCCACCTCAGATCATGGCTCATTTCTCCAGATTCAGTTATCTCCTTCCTGAAGATATATATAAAGCCTGTCTATGCCCATAGAACAGAAGGGATGCAAAACTGCAGTTTCTTGATGGTAATGGTGAAACTAGTTGAAAAAGATAGGGGTTTCACTGAAGAACTCAAAATTGCATGTTGGTTAATGCTGCTGTGTGCTGACTGCAGGATCTTTGCTGGAAAACGTCTGTAGAGCACACCTTTCTCTAGAGCATATTTTAACAAACTTTATGACTTTTCCATTACAAGTAACTAAAATTAGAGAAAATATTAAAGATTCAAGGTAGAAACAACATCTGGAGTTCTTGATTGTATAATGTGGGTGAAAGCACTGTCCTTTCATACCTTAAAGGTGCTTGGTATTGCAGTGTCCTCACAAAAGGGTGGTGAATCCCAGATGATGCTTTCAGGTCATCTGTATTTGGTGAGATGCTTTTAACAGGCAGATTCTCCCCTTTTCTTCCATCTGACCTTAAGGGAAAAAATGCATTAAGGAAGAATAGTTCTGAGAGTGTGGGCGTACCTTGCATTGAAAGACAGGGTCCCTTCTTTGCTTGAGTTTAAGCTCCAGTAATGACAGTTAACTCTTGAAGTAATGCTTTAAAGAGGACTGCCAAGCTCTATTAAAACTGAATTTATCTTTATTACTCTCTTGAGTTAGATAATGTAGTTTACGACTGCACTTTTTTTGTGTGCATTGTAGACATAACCAAAATCATAAAACAACTCCCTGTGGGTATTTGGAAAACACCTGTGAAACACTGTTTTCCATTCCTACTAGATACAGTAAGACTATAATGAGTTATGAGGAAAAAGACATCTGTATCACTAAGAAAATGCTGCTTATTTGCCAAAACCAGAATAGGGAAGTTCAGGAAACTCACAAAGTGCTGCTGGTTGGTACAGGGGGAAATAGTATCAATGTCAAGACCATACATTTATTGAAGAAACATCAGAAGCACCAAAAAAATGTAAATCAGTCACACTGTCCAAATCCAGGAACAGCTGTAGCTACCTATTACTGATCAGACTATACTATGTTGTGACTTATCCTTTGCCACAGAATAGGATAAAGTGCAGCAAAGAGAGTGCAAACTTTTTACTTCTGAAAAAATGTATTACATTCAGAATCCAGTTTTTACATGTGAAAAAAAGACTCTAAAAAGAAGAAAGCTGGCTGATGAGTTGAACTGTTTGTGGAAAAAAACACTAACAAAATTACTACTAATGGCATTGCCACACATCAAAAGTCTTGAATTTCAGTGTGCATATTGATTCTGAAGTGCCATAATTTGCTCCACAGTCATTGCTGGTGTTGATGGAAAGTCCATTTTGGTATGTGGAGTGTTCTCATGTAAACTGATTTACATGTATATTGGGCAATCTAGTTAAGATTTTTTTCTGAAATAATAGAGATGAGAAATGAAGGTAAACTTTTAAGCTTAAAACTGAATTTCAAGAGCTTCTGCTCCTCTTTTCTGTTAAAAGGTATTAAGTAAATGGTGTGGCAACCATAACTTCTCCTCAAAATAACTTTTGATCACTGCCAGTATAAACTACATTAAACATGAGGCACAGGGACCCTTACCCACATTCTGAAATACACGATACTGTGTACACACAAGGTGTGACAAAAAGAAAGCAGTATGACTGCATGGAATCTCTTTCTAATGTGGTAAGAAATGTTTGTTATGACAGAGCTCTAGAAATGGGGTTTTGTTCCTTTCCCCACTGACTTCTTTCTGAAATGGTCTGAAAATTCAGATCCTGACCTTC